GGCAAAAGGATGGACATGAAGATAAACGGACAGACAGATGGACAATAAGACAGTCAGACAGATGGGCGGACGAATGGATAGACGGTCGGCTATATTGACCTTATTCTAAAATGCGGAAGTGCGCCTGTTTTCGCGATTGTCTTAGAACTTCCGATTCAGTCGCCTAAGGGAGAAATGACTAGGAATAATAAATGGCAGAAAATGGTCAAACTACTTGCTCTACAAACAAAAGTTTGCATGACTAAGTAGAGACCAAGTAGAATAATATAATAAAAAATATCAAATAGCAACATCAAGCAGTGTAACGAGCAGTTTTTAACGTCAAAAAAATTAATGGAAGTGAATGAGACCGGAAGTCTCGAGCCAAAAAGATTCAAATGGCAGCGCCCGCTCGTCTGCGGAAAATAAGGGTAATAGGCAGGCAAACAAGACAGATGAATGGAAAGATGAACAATCAGACAAACGAAGTCGGACAGACTGACAGAAAAGCAGACAGAAATGAACAAATGGATTGACAAACGGTCAGTCAGACAGACGGACAGATGAATGGACAGACAAAAGGATGGACAGGCAGGTGGACTGTCAGACAGACAGACGAACAAACGGACAGACAGAAGAATGGACAGGTAGACAAATAGACGGACAGATGAATGGACAGACAGAAGGATAGACAGGCAGGTGGACAGTCAGACAGACAGACGAACAAACGGACAGACAGAAGAATGGACAGGTAAACAAATAGACAGACAAACAGACAGACGAATGGACAGACAGAAGGATAGACAGGCAGGCAGACAAGCAGACAGACAGATGAACAAATGGACAAACAGAAGCATGGACAGGTAGACGGACAGATGAAAAGACAGACCAACAGACGAATGGACAGGTAGAGGAACAGACGTATGGACGAACTTACAGTCAGACAGCAAATGAAAAGACAGGCAGGCAATAAGACAGTCGGATGGATTGACGAATGGTCAGATGAATTAACAGACAGAAGGGCTGACAAGTAGAGGAATAGATGGATGGATGAGCGGACATTTAGACTGACAAATGGACGGACAGATGGTTGGACAGGCAGACGAAAAAACAGACAAATGGATGGACGAATGGACAGATTAAAGGACAAAGGAGTATGGACAGATAGACAGACGGATGGAGAAATGGACAGATGAATGGACAGAGACAAGGATGGACAGGAGGATGGACAGCCAGGCAGACAGAAGGATGGACAGGTAGCTGAACAGACAGATGGATGGATGAATGGACAGTTAGACAGACAAATAGACGGATCATTGGACAAACAGACATGGGCAGTGAGACAGACAGGCAGACAAACAGACAGATAGATGGATGCAGGGATGAATGAACAGACGGAAAGATAGACGAATGGACGAACGGACAGACAGAAGGATGAACAGGCAGACAGATAGACAAATGGATGGAGAAACGGACAGATGAATAGACAGAGAGAAGGATGGACAGGCAGACGGACAGACAGAAGGATGGGCAGGTAGACAAACAGACAGATGGATGGGCGAACGAACAAGACAGATAGACAGACAAATAGCTCAACAGACAAACAGACATACAGGCAGTGAGACAGACAGACAGATGGAAGGACAGACGAATGAACAGAGAGAAAGTTGAACAGGCACAGACAGAAAGACAGATGGATGCATGTATGGAGAGTTAGACAGATGGACAGACAAATAGACAGATCATTGGACAAACAGACATACGGGCAGTGAGACAGACAGACAAATAGATAGATGGATGGACAGATGAATGAACAGACAGACAGACAGATAGATAGATGGCTGGAGAAACGGACAGATTAATAGACAGAGAAGGATGGACAGGCAGACAGATGGATGGATGATTGGGTGAACGGACAATCAGACAGATAGACAGACAAATAGCTCAACAGAAAAACAGACATACAGCTAGTGAGACAGACAGACAGATAGATGGACGAACAGACGAATGAACAGAGAAGGTTGAACAGGCAGACGGATTGACAAAGACAGACGGATGCATGAACAGACAGTCAGACAGATGTGCAGACAATTAGACAGATCGATAAACAAACAGATATACGGACAGTCAGACAGACAGGTGAACAAAGAGACAGACAAACAAACAGACAGACAGATTGACAGACAAATAGACAGATGGATGGACAGACAGACGGAAAGATGAATGGATGAACAGACATAAGAACACTGAGACAGACAGGTGGACAAACAGACAGACAGACTCATAGACAGATTAACAGACATACGGACAGTCAGACAGGTGGGCAGACAGACAAATGAACAGACAGATTGAGAGACAAATAAACAGATGGACGGACAGACAGACAGACAGACAGACAGACAGACAAACATTGGGATGACAGACAGCCAGATTTATGGAAAGGAAGACAAATCGAGAGAGAGACAGACAGACAGACAGACAGACAGACAGACAGACAGACAGGCGGACAAACTCCAGTAAGTGTTGCTAGTCTCATTATCTGGTGTTATGTCCCACACCCAGCAGTGTCTACTTTGAAACCAGCTTATCTCTGCAATGAACCAAAGTACAGCAGAAATGTGGCCAAGCGCGCACACACACACACACACACACACACACACACCCTGTGCAGCAAGGCCTATTTACAGTCTGTCTTTTTTATATCACGGCTCTGAACAGCAGTAGCTTGTGCAGACCTGCTCCTTTTTCAGGATGAGAAGGAAAAAGTGAGAGAAGGGTAAATACATACTCTTAAGAGCACTTGCTCAAATATATATACCACCACAGCTGGAAAGAAACACACATCATATATTCTCAGCCCATCCTTGTGATCTACACTGGAAAAAAAATCCATACAAGACTAACATCTGTATTCATTTTATGCGGAAAAATTGAAAACCCCTATACAAGTCAACTGAATGACCATTCAGAAGATGGCGGAAGATGGACAAATGAATAAAAAATAAAACAAACTTGCCTTCCGTGGTTTCTTTACACCTATTTAAAACTACATACTGTAAATATCAACACACCATCCCAGCAGACACACAACACCGTAAGATGTTAATGTTAGGTTAGATTTAGGTCGCCAGTGTCTAAGGATTTTTCGATGTCCAATAATGACGTGAAATGATGTTGATATTTTGGTGATTTTAGGTAGTGTTGGAAAGTGACCAAAATCCAACGTCGAGCCAACATCTTAAACCAACGCCATATTGAAATATAAATGCTGATATTTATTCGTCAGGTATGGCAACCAAAATCCGTCATCTGCTAGACGTCATATTTGATCACGTCTACACAACGTCAAGCTGATCATTAGATGATGATATTTGGTTGATTTTAAGTTGTGTTGGAAAGTGGCCAAAATCCAACATCTTAAACTAACGTCATATTGACACCAAATACTGATATTTATTCGTCAGGTTCGTCAGATAAAATCCGTCATCTGATAGACGTCATATTGGTCACGTCCACACAACGTCAAGCTGTAACATCATTAGATGTTGATATTTGGTTGATTTTAGGTTGTGTTGGAAAGTAACCCAAATGCGGTTGTTGCAAGATCAGATATGGATGTGACTAAAAGTTAACGAGAACAATTTATATTATTTAATTAATTTCCCATTAGTTGTATTTTATTAACATCTACCCCTACCCCGACTCTAAACCCAACTGTCACAGTACTGTAAAAATATTAATCATAATATTAATCAAAATGCTGCTGTATTGATGTGCATGTCACACTTCCGACCGGCTGCATATCCGATCTAGACTTTACCACAAAATTCAACGTTCGACAAAGTCAATCTGACGTCATGTTAATATCTTGTGCCTGCTGGGATCATTTAAAAGGTCTGGTAGGATATTTTAAGGTTTATATGAAATATTACAGTCTAAAATAACATTTTTCAGTTTATGATTTAAAATATATATTATTACTCTTTTAACATCAGATTTCAGTGTCACATGATCAAGAAGCATTTTAATCATCAATGTTGAGAACATCTTTCTGATCATACACTGTAAAAAAATCATTGCTGCCTTAATTTTTTTTGTTAAAACCAATTAACCGTTTTAGTCATCTCGACTTGTAGCAATCAAACTGACTAAAATATCAAGTTAAACGTTGCAAAACTTTTAAAAAAAAGTAGTTCAAACCTGATTAACTTTTTTAAATAAGTTAAAGTAACATACAAAAATTTGTAGTCATGACCTTTTATGTTACATCCTTTTATACAGTGTAGGCATTTTTCCCTAAATGGTATTAAAAGGGGTGTGGTTGTGGAGGGGGTTTGGCTTTAGAGTGGGTGTGGCTCTGATATTGATCACAGAGGATGATATTTTTCTTCATTTGTCCCGTATTTTAGATGACAGGAGCTTGACTAATGTGTGTTTAACAGCACATATTAAATCTGGGGTTTATGATAAAACATCAGCATATTCTTCCCCACATATAGTTGAAGTCAGAATTATTAGCCCCCCTGTATATTTTTTCGGCAATTTCTGTTTAATGGAAAGCAGATTTTTTTTCAACACATTTCTAAGCATAATAGTTTTAATAACTCATTTCTAATAACCGATTTATTTTATATTTGCCATGATGACAGTAAATAATATTTGACTAGATATTTTTCAAGACACTTCTATACAGCTTAAAGAGAAATTTAAAGGCTTTTAACTAGATTAATTAGGCAAGTAAGGGAAAGTAGGCAAGATAACGATGGTTTGATGGACAATCAAAAACAAATATTACTTAAGGGGGCTAATAATATTGTCCTTAAAATGGTTTAAAACTGCTTTTATTGTAGCCGAAAGACAACAAATAAGACTTTCCCCAAAAGAAAATATATTATAGGAAATACCGTAAAAAATTCCTTGCTCTGTTAAAAAAAAAAAAAAAAAAAAAACAGAAGGACAAATAATTTTGACTTTAACTGTATATATAAGTGATTTTACAAAATGCTCTGCTTTTACTGTACCTTGACAGTGCGGTGCTGTTTTTTGGAGGGGTGGCAGCGCATGTTTCCGGTGTTGCAGCAGCCGGTGCAGCGCTTCACCTCCACACACGGAGGCCAGATGAGGAAGTTTGCAGCAGTGGGATCCACTTGACTGCGGGGGATCTCGTAGATCACCGTCCGGGTCTTGCACATGGCCGGCACCGCCTCCTCTACTAGATTCAACAAATAGGTAAATGAATAAGTTAGACTTTCATCAATTCAAAGAGTATTCAAAATATAGCTTTTTTATAATTAGCACATGCATATTAGCATGAAACAACACAAATTAAAAATCACATGGTATGTGTCCCTAAACAATAAATAAACAATAATAATAATAAAAATCACGTAATAAAATGTAAAATAATGATAAAACAGTCGATAACAGGTGGTTGACGTGTTGACACATAAGACAGAGTTGCTCACGGTGACTCGAGTTCGATTTCATTGCTCGAGGCCCTTTGCTGATCCTTCCCCTATCTCTGCTCCCCATACTTTCCTGTCTGTAAAATCCCTACTGTCCTAAACCAAATAAAGGTAAAACCCCCTAAAAATATTATGAATTTAAAAAATGATAATAATTATAAAATATATTTTAATAATAATAAAAATCAAATATCTTGGCACAGGAAACTAAATAAATCAATAAAATTCACATGCAAGGTGAAAGTACTGAGAACTAAAAACAAACTAAAGAATTGAGCTAAAATAAAACTAAATTAGACGATAAATAATATCAAATGAATAAAATAAACTATAGCACATTAAACTAAACAAAAGCTAGGACCACAACATGACAACACAAACAAAATAATTTTGAAAAATGACCATTTAAAATTAAATACCAAAACACCAGATTTCAAGAGTCCACACTTAGCACCTGGCCCATGAACATTTCCTGCTAGTTATCAAACTGTTTCATAACTGTATCAAGAGGCAATTCAATCATAACTTAACGTTAAAAGAGCTATCATAACATTATTCATCAATATGTGGCCCTTTTTGCATTCCAGGAAGTTCTAGAAATTTAAAATAGGAAACACGTTGGGAACATTGTTTTTGTTTACATCCCTCAAAATGGTCTATACAGCGTAAAAAGAGGTGTGACAAAGGAGTTTTTCACTGGCCTGCGGCAGAGCTGCACACCCACGTATTCACACACACACACACACACACACACACACACACACACACACACACACACACACACACACACACACACACACACACACACAAACACACACAAACACACACACACACACACACACACACTCCAGATGAGGTAGGTCTCAAGACCTCCCTTTGGTAAAGGAGGAAGGGGGGGAATTCTTCCACAAAAATAAAATATATTTATAAAATGTGAGCCTGGACCACAAAGTTGCATTTATATATATTTATAGCTTTTGCCCAAAAAAATTGTATGGGTATATATATATATATATATATATATATATAGTATTAGCGTACTATATAGGATTTTGGAAGCCTTGGTGTGCCTTCAGAAACAGGGTTGGAAACACTGGTATATATCCCCTTATATATCCCCCAAATGCCGATTAAATAAGATTTCTACTGATGTATGACTGAGTTACAACTAGTAAAATTAAGAATCTAAGGGTTAAAAACCATTCTAAATACTGTTAAAATCACCTTTTATTTATTTTATGAATTATTTGTATTCATTTTATTAATTATTTTGAATAAAGTAAATTAGTAATCAAAATGCTAATATTGATCAATGAAATCAATGCAAATTGCTAACTAGAATTGGAGATTTGGTATATTTACAATAGGAAATTTACAATAAGATGTCCATGGAACATGTTCTTCGCCTAATATTATTATATTCTATATTTACTTAATATCCTATTGTAAATATACCAAATCTCCAATTCTGGTTTGCAATCTGCGCCCAAAATCCTATATAGTACGCTAAAATCAGTATGCGAGCCGGAAAGTATGTACGAATTTATAGAATTCTAAACACAGTATGTCAGAAGTTCGTGGATGACCTACTACTTCCGGCCAGTTTCTGAAGTGCACACCCGATGGACCCTACGCTATCCCATAATGCACAATGAGAGAATTTATGAATAGGAGTGAATCGATGACGTGGGTAGGTCAGGTGATCGTGACAAAATGTCGGATTGAGTTCCATTAATACTACTGACATTCATACTGTACAGAATGTACATTTCTAACGGCCTATCAGTAAACTCAAACTCAAATGCAGTACCTACTGAATAGTAGTAGTAGATTTCGAACGCAGCCCAACAACTACACATTTTCAAACTCTAATCAAACACACCTGAATCAAATCATTATAAGAAACTCCAAAACCTGAAACGAATGGTTCAGATAAAGGAGACCTATGAAAGATATACTGTTGGTGTGCCAACAGGGTTGGGAAACACTGATATAGTACATAGCAATTTCCAAAGACTATCACTTATGACTGATTTTGTGGTCCAAGGTCACAAATATATGCTGCATTAATATGATAATCATTACATTCCATGCCATTACCAGTGGTTTGACATGAATCTACAGTATTAATTAGCAAGTAATCGCACATTAAAAACCAAATCGCTCAAACCGACCACCATTTTTCAGTTTATTTCAGACAGCCATACACCTAAAACATTTGCCACTGTGCTTTTTTTCTGTAACTGATGCCATCCTGTTAAACAAACAGCCCCTTAAACCTGCATGAGTGGCAAATATTAAAGAGGGTTTTTAATATCTCTGAGCCTCTGTATTTACTGAGCCCGAAATAAGACAGACCGCATCGCTTCCATCTCCTCCTCCAGCCTCTTTCAGAGCAACAGTAGTAAAATAATGGCACACGGTTTACTCTGAGGCCTGATGGGATGATGAGGGGTCTGAAACTCCACACACGCACACACAGAAAGGAAAGGATGTCAGATCTGTGTGTGCCAGTCTGAACTCTGCTCAGTTCAACGAGCTGCGACATGAACTCCGAATGTCTGGAATTTCCTGGCTCGGATGCGTTTGTGACCTCAGCAAGTCCCGCCAATCAAAATACTCTCACGTACAGTCTAATAAAGAGATGCCCGCTGATCACTGCGCTGCTTTCATGGAGAAACACTGGCGTTCCCTGCTTTAATGTGCTCAGAGGTGGAACTGCCATTTATGTAATTAAAAAAACCCGAACACTTTATTAAAGGGATAGTTCACGCAAAAATGAAAATGGACTCAACATTTACTTGTGGTTCCAAACGTTTTTCTGTTTCTTTCTCATGTTGAACACAAAAGACGGTATTTTGGAGAACGTTTGGAGAACCTGTAACCATTGACTTTCATAGTAGTGAAAGCAAATACAGTGGAAGTTTCCACCATTCTTCAAAATATCTTCTTTTGTGTTCAACTGTAGAAAGAAACTAATAAAAGTGCAGCGAGTAAATGATGACAGAATTTTCATTTTTGCATAAACTATACTTTTAAGAGAGTTTTGAGTATCTAATCTGTTTAATTGATTCAATTAAGTGGAACATTTTGGAATAAGTTGTTTAAATGCACCATTGGATGATTTAATAAATATGTATAATCTTTGAATTGCAATAGATGGGTTACTGATCAATCATTGCATTTTAGTTGATTTCCACAACAAATTAAATGACAAAACAGGATTTTATATACCTAGAAAGCATAATAATTGCATGCAAAGTGTCAATGTTTCATGCATCTTGTGTAAAAAATATAGTGTCAAAATATATGTATTATTCAATTTGCAGGACAGTTCCAAAAATTTAGGTATTGCAATTTTTTTATTATGTTTTATTGTTTGAGTTATTACACATTTTCATTAATTACTCACTGGCAGGGCCAGATTGGCTGATGGGGTATATGCCGAAGCATGCTAATAGGACTTTTAATTTTCCAGTAACCTGGGTTAAGCGCTTCCGGCGAACTGTATGCCAATGCAAAATCCGGTGCGTTTAAGGTCTGTTTTCTTTAAAAATCAGCGATCTCCACTGGCTGAGTGATATCCGATTTAAAGTCGGTCTCAGATTGTACAAGAAGCACTGCATTAAATTATATTTCCCCTGCCATATCTTTATAATATGAGCATTTATTTTACCTCAGTATATTCAATGGAGCTTCTGCGTTAGCCTAGATCTCTCTCTTTTGTGTGTTGTGGTGCTGTATTTATACCATAGTAATTGTAGTGTATTCAATTTATTTCATGTTTATTTCTATAGAGCTTTTACAATGTAGATTGCGTCAAAGCAGCCTAACATAGAAGTTCTAGTAAATTAAAACTGTGTCAGTCCAGTAAGATGAGCGTTATTTCCTGCCTGATCTCTTGTGTATAACTCCAGCCCGTTTCTGACTCTGCTTCGCCTTCTGCCTGCCCACAACCAAAGCCTGATACACGGATTCTCGCTACCTGCCTTTGACCCATGCCTGGTAAATCACTCTGTGCCTGTTTGCCGCCAGCCTTGAGACCTTTACTGCTACTATTGATGTGTGTTTGCACCTTTGTGCATATTGTTTGTTAAAGTGAGAGTGTGATTGATAAATACTGCATAATGGATCCCTCCGTGTCAGTCTCCTCGTTACAATATTTATGTTACATGAGTATGTTTTTGTCAGTAACGAAAAACACATTGTTTGTGTCAGAATTTTTTTCTTTAATGCCAAAAATAATTAGTATATTAAATAAAAATCATGTTTCATAAAAAATATATTGTACATTCCCACTGTAAATATATATAAAAATAAGTATATTAAAACTCTAGTTTGATTAGTAAGGTGCTAAATAAATGCAGCCCAAAAAATCCGACTCCAAAATCCTGAATTTGTTGCCCATGTTCTGTTTATAGCCTGGTTGTTGCTATGTGAATGATTATTATTATGTTGCACGAATGCAAGATACCCTAAAGTGACACATTATATAACAGCAATAGTAAATCTATTATCAATGAAGTGCCATAAATGAAGAATCCTCCAGCCGAGCCAGAACAGTGAAACTGTTTACGATTGCCAAGCAACATCAGAATTCATCACACATGACCCTGGATCACAAAACCAGTCATACGCGAGTGCTCATTTTTGGAAGCTGAGATTTATGTATAACTTATTTGAAAGCTGGATAAATAGTATTTCCACGGATGTATAGTTTGTTGGGTTAGGACAATATTTGGCCTAAGATACAACTTTTAAAATATCTGGAATCTGAGAGGTCCAAAAATATATATAATCTAATAAAGAATATATAAATAATGAGAAAATCATCATTAAAGTTGCACAAAATTAAGTTCTTAGGAATTTATATTACTAATAAAAATTGATTTGATATTTTTTCAACAGGAGATTTATGAAATATCCTCATGGAACATGAGTTTTACTTAATATTCTTATGATTTTCGAAATAAAAAAAAAATCAAACATTTTGTAGGTTGTAATTTTTTGTGCAATATTTTACTTGAATTTAATTATATTATCTTTCAGTTTGTAAATATGTTTGGTGACTAAAATATTATTTTAATAAATATATCTGTTTAATAAATCTGTTTTGTTTAAATGCACCAAAATACATGACCTATATTCACAAAAAATGGAGAAAAATATTTATTTTCAAAATGGGGTGTAGTCAGTTATGCTGAGCACTGCATGTTAAATGCAAAAATACAACTGAGTTTTATTAGTTATTTTTAATAAAAAAAAATTGTGGGGGAGATGTGGTGGCGTAGTGAGTAGCACAATCACCTCACAGCAAGAAAGTCTCTGATTTGAGCCTCGGCTGGCTGGAATTTCTGTGTGTAGTTTGCATGTTCCCCCCGTGTTCGTGTGGGTTTCCTCTGGGTGCTCCGGTTTCCTCCACATATCCAAAGACATGTACTAAAGGTTAATTGGGCAAGCTAAATTGGCCGTATGCATGTGATTGAGTGTGTATGTATGGGTGTTTTCCAGTGAGGGTGTTTTCCTGTGTTGAGTTTGCATGTTCTCCCCATGTTGGCGTGGGTTTCCTCCTGGTGTTCTGGTTTCCCCCACAGTCCCCCACAGATATGCGCTATAGGTGAATTGAATTAAATAAATTGTCCGTAGTTTATGTGTGTGTGTGTGTGTGTGTGTGTGTGTGTGTGTGTGTGTGATTGTGTGCATGGGTGTTTTCCAGTACTGGGTTGTGGCTGGAAGGGCATCCGCTGTGTAAAACATACGCTGGAATAGTTGGTAGTTTAGTCCGCTGTGGCAACCCCTCATTAATAAAGGGACTAAGCCAAAGGAAAATGAATGAACGAATGAATATTTGTGACTTTTCGTTTGAATGCGCAAGTATACTTTACCAAGAAATTCATATCAATAATGGTTTTCGTAAGTTTCATTAAAATTGACTTCAGTTAAACTCATGCAATGGGATTTTTTAAGTCGTACACCAGATTAACATGTGACACTGTCCAAATTCAGTCATTTAGTGCTGTGATGAACAGCAATGCTGATACACCAATTTAGGTATTCATAAAAAGCTCTCTAAAAGTTGAAATAATAAACAATTATTCATAGTATTTTGAAGTGCCCACGATAACGATATTACGCAAATCACTATCACAATATATATCAAATTATTGAATACATTCATTATTCGATCAGTTTTCTTCAGGTTAGTCCTTGTTTTATCAGGGGTCACCACAGCGGAATGAATGGCCAACTATTCCGGCATTTGTTTTACACAGTGATGCCCCCCCCTAGCCTCAACCCATTACTGGGAAACTATTGAAATATAGTTGAATTCACAATTGAGCTGAAGTTTCTTTTATAAATATTTTCTAAATGATGTTTAACAGATCAAGAGCATTTTCGCAATATTTTCAACAATACTTATCCTTCTGGGGAAAGTCTTAGTTGTTTTATTTTGACCAAAATAAAAGCAGTAGTTTTCAATAAAAATAAAAAAAAACATTAAGGTCAATATTATTAAGCAATATTGTTTAGATTGTCTACAGACAGAAAAACAAGACTGGTAAACAATAACTTGTCTAGTTACCCTAATTAACCGGGTCCCCCGGTTTCCTCCCACCATCCAAAAACATGCAACTTAAGTTGATTGACTAATCCAAATCGGCACCATAGACATGCTCCTAGTAAGTAGTTATCTCTTAAGAGCAATCACTATCTGTTCATTAGCTACTACAGCAGGGGAGTTCTCGAGATCTACCTGAGCTCAAACTCTCCTTGCAAACGGGAGGAAGCCCCGGGCTCTAGGATCTTATGAGCTCAGGGCTCTCTCCCGGGACAGCATGCCAAACAAGCTTTAACATCAATCATGAGCTAAGTGTGAACTCTTGAAACAGGAATCGAGGAAAACATGAAAGAGTTCACATTTAACAGAAGAACTCATAACTCTTATAAAGTACAAACGAAGTCCGATTTTGTGGTCCAGGATAACAAATCACCAGACAAAAGGGCTAATTTCTGAAATAAACAGCATGTTATTAAGAGTGCTTATTTTGATATCGTCTTACCAACGCTCCTCTTCCGCCGATGGGACAGCTGTCGGCTCTTCAGATCGGAGGCGAAGCTCTTGTATGAATGCTGGCTCTTCTGATGGTGCTTCTGCTTGACCTCCTCAATCACCTCATTTCCAGGACCTCCAGAGAAACACAGGTTACCCGACATTACTTTCATGTTACTCAGCGGAAAAAAAAAAAAGACAAATCACTTTCCCCCCATTTTATGAATCCACAATGCGTCTATTGAAAAGTCTTCAGAGATGCCCTGCAGCCTCCAGAGGCGAAATGGCACTGGCGTGAGTGGCACCAAAGCATGAAATAATTTCCTTCTTCAGAAACTCTTTTCCCTCAAACAATGGCTGCTTTATGCACAGGCTTAATTGGAAATTCATCACGATGGATTTCTGGAGGAACTATGTCATGCTGGGGCCGAAACGCGCTTGCCAAGTTTATTATAAAGTCTAACGTTGACGTGTCTAAAGAACAAACGTGAACTCTTAACAACCTCAGTGAGTTTTCTTTTTTTTTTTTTTTTTGCTGCTGCTGGTTATGAATGAGTGAGAAAACCATTTGAGAGTGTTTGAAGAAGAGGCGGGACTGCCTGACGCATGAATACCACATCAGTTCGGTTATTATTAAGTGCCGTTTAAACAACTGGTGTTGAAGGTATTCTAAAAAGTGGAGGGAATTAATATTGAGACGTAATCGAGGATAAAGAGAGCGCTGACTGATATATATACACTGTAAAAAAATGATTCATGACAACAAATGCTACTTTAAATGTTACTTTAAACTTAATTTAATAAGTTATTCAGGGTAAATCAAGCTAAATTTTTTAGCCATACAAAGTTTAAAGCAACGGCGACCAACCCTGTTCCTGTGGATCTACCTTCCTGCAGATTTCAGTTGCAACCCACAAACACACCTGCCTGTAATTATCAAGTGCTGCTCAGGGCCTAATTAATCAGTTCAGGTGTGTTTAATCAGAGTTGGAGCTGAACTCTGCAGGAAGGTAGATCCACAGGAACAGGGTTGAGCACCACTGCTTTAACCTGATATTTTTAGTTGGTTTGACTGATTTAATTTGAGATGAGTAGAAAAGTCAATTTGATGTTATATTTTGATGTTAAATATATGTTATTTGATTGATAATTTAACTAAAAGTATTTTTACAGTGTAGCTGAGGACAAAATTATTAAACCTTCAGAGAAATTTGAGTTATCCCTGCTGAAAAATCCCGCTTAAACCAGCCTAGGCTGGTTGGCTGGTTTTAGCTGGTCGACCAGGCTGATTTTAGAGGGGTTTTGGCCACTTCCAGGCTGGTTTCCAGCCATTTCCAGCCTTGTTTTAGCTGGTCAGGCTGGGAGATAACCAGCTAAAACCAGCTTGACCAGCCTAGCCAAGCTGGAAGTCCAGCCAAAACCAGCTATATCCAGCTTAAACCAGGCTGGTCAAGCTGGTTTTAGCTGGATTTGGCTAGTCATTTTCCAGCCTGACCAGCTAAGACCAGGCTGGAAATGGCTGGAAACCAGCCTGGAAATGGCCAAAACCCCCTCTAAAACCAGCCTGGTCAACCAGCTAAAACCAGCCAACCAGCCTAGGTTGGTTTAAGCTGGATTTTTCGTCAGGGATTTCTCTAATATTTTCGAAGTTCTGTTTAACAGAGATACTTTTTCCAACACGTTTTTAAACATAGTGGTTTTAATAACTCATTTATTTTGTCTTTGCTATAATGACAGTACTGAGCATGGGATGATAACCGTTTTGGATTGGATAACCACGGTTTGGAAAAGTTAAGGTTTTAGAACCGTCAGAAGTTTCTGCTATACCACTTCTAAGGTATGTGTACGATTTTTTATGTACTTTTTTTTTTTTTTTTTAGGACAGCAGTATCTTCAGCAGAAAAAAAAATCCAAAGATGCCGTATTAAATTGTAAAGAAATCGGTGTTTTGGAAACTAATGAAAACAGCAGAAGTCAATGAATGATTTTATTTATTTAGCCTGACATGTTTACTATCATATCTTAATGTATAAATGTATAATGGTTACAGGTTTGTATAAATGTTTCTCAATATAAAATATGTGTTCAAAGGGGAAAAAGTTTTCGTTTTTAAAAGGATAGATATTATAAAAGGATACATTTTAGAGCAGAAATCACAATACTGTGAAACCGTGATATATTTATCCAAGGTTATCATACCGTCAGAATCTAACACCAGCCCATGCCTTGAAAGTACATAATATTTTACTAGATATTTTTCAAGATACTAGTATTTGGCCTAAAGTGCAATTTAAAGGCTAAACTAGGTTTATTAGTTTAATTAAAAAAGTTAATTAGGCAAGTCCCACTTTATATTAAGTGGCATTAACTAATATATACTTGCACTGAAATGTGTAATTCAATGTACTTAGTGTTTACTGTAAATACATGTTTTACATTGTACTCATGCTTGATTAAATACCTGCATGTAAATACATCTGTTATTAATTTCTTTAATTACACTATTGACCATCCCTGACCCCTACACCTTAATCCACCCCAATACCTATCCATACCACCAAACTTGTCCCTAAGCCTACCCCTTAATAACAACAGAAGTGTTTCTGCAATGCATTATGAACAAAGTAAGTACATTGTATTTATATTTTGATGTAAGTACATAGTTGTTAAGGCCACTTAATTAAAAAGGGGTCCCTTTTTTACATTTCTCAAGTTGTTCTGTTAAACATCACTTAAGAATTTTAATTTCCAAGTAGCTGATAAGTAAGTAATTCATTAATTATTAATAATTTTGCCTTCAACTCTATAACATGCTTTCTATGAATAATGAAGATCATTATTGAATTAAAAAAAAGCTTCCTGAAAACCAGTCCCTGAAACATGTCAAAATAATTTACTTTAATTTCTACAGATCACAGCTAATTTCTTTTTTTTTCATGGCAAAGAGCATTCAAGTATTTCAAGTGTTTAAATTATATGATTTATGGCATGTTACAACATATATAAAATATGATATCAATGAAAATAATAAACAAAACATGCCTGCATGATTGGCATATAAAAACTAACCAAGTTAGCTTTGTATTGATATACCAAAATAGCTACTACAGATTATAAATAAATGAAATAATTTATATAATGTAAAAGTAATATATGCCATATGAGTTTTTTTATATGGAAAAACCCAACACTTGTGTTTAAAAATGTTCATTTAAATGTGAATAAAGTAATTAATGTTGATATCTGAGTCAGTGTTGTGTTAATAGAATCTTGCTTTTATTTTTCAACATGTATCAATAAATTAATATTAACATTCTACATGTAAAAACTGTTTAATCATAACAAAATACTATATAATAATAATGATTATAAATATTACAGCTGTGAAGAAATTTAAGACACCACCTAGAAATTTCTCTGCATTTGCGATTTATTTACAATTTATTTATGGATGATACATTCATTCGGTTTGTATTATTTGTTTATAAATAAGAAATCAATAATTTGGTGGAATATCCCTGCAAAATAAGCGAAAATAATCATATATCTAACTAATTAACTATACAACCATAACTAATGAAAAGCCAGTCTGCTTGTTATCTGACTGTGCTTCAATAGCTGGCTTTAGCTGCAGCAGTGGAGTTAAACATCAAACCATGTAACATGGGAATGTGCAGGCAAACACACTCTCTGAACTGAGACTGCATGACCACACGCAGACCAGCAGCAGGAAACACAAGTGACATGTCAACAAAAGCCCCGTCTCATCTTTCCTACAAATGGACGGCCATTGTTTTGAAGCTGTTTTTCAGACTCAGTCAAAGAGTAAGCGTTGACCCACAGAGAGAGAGAGAGAGAGAGAGAGAGAGAGAGAGAGAGAGAGAAAGAGGGGGAGAAAGAGAGAGAGAACTACTGCACTGTGAACATTACCACAACGTTAGATCAATGAACTTCCAACAAATCTGCCGTATGTTTTAAGCCACAACTCAGCATGAGTGTACACTAACTCACCTAATTTTAAACCAATTGATCATCTTGTTCAACACCTATAACCACATTAAAACACCAACTTACATGAAACCCAGTTCCATTATCTGTTAGGCTGTACTACAAATTCGACTTTTATTCTTACTGCCACCAAACACTAAAACCACGCCTCAGGATCAACAATAGCCCTCGATTTGTCCTCAATTTCCATTTGGCCACATCATAAAATCACATCAAAAATAAATAAAAATCTGTAGCTTTTAAGTAATTCAATAAACTCTCTTTCTCGATAGATAGATAGATAGATAGATAGATAGATAGATAGATAGATAGATAGATAGATAGATAGATAGATAGATAGATAGATAGATAGATAGATAGATAGATAGATAGATAGATAGATGGATGGATAGATAGATAGATGGATAGATAGATGGATGGATGGATGGATGGATGGATGGATGGATGGATGGATACGACAGATAGATACTATAGATACGATGGATGGATGGAAAGATGGATGGATGGATGAGTAGATACGACAGATAGATACTATAGATATGATGGATGGATGGAGGGAAAGATGGATGGATGGATGGATGGATGGATGGATGGATGTATAGATACGACAGATAAATACTATAGATACGATGGATGGATGGATGGATGGATGGATGGATGGATGGATGGATGGATGGATGGGTAGATACGACAGATACTATAGATATGATGGATGGATGGATGGATGGATACAACAGATAGATACTATAGATACGATGGATGGATGGATGAAAAGATGGATGGATGGATGGATGGATGGATGGATGGATGGATAGATACTATAGATATGATGGATGGATGGAAAGATAGGTAGATACGACAGATAGATACGATGGATGGATGGATGGATAGATATTCGGATAGACAAACAGTTTGAATTTCTACGTTTAATGTTATATGCCTTTAACATCTCTTTTTAAATAAATAACGAGAGAGAGAGTCTGAGTGAGTGAGAGAGAGAGAGGGAGAGAAGAGAGAGTGTGTGTTCAGCAATTCATCCTTATCTGGTGTTCACATCAAAACTCACTGTTATGATGGCATACACGAGTACTTTGTTCTCTCCAACTCAAAAACAGCAGATGATCATCT